GGGAGCTGGCAAAACAACTGATTGAAAGTAGCATACTTTTTTTAAAATCCCAAGAAAAATAGGGAACACCAAAAGGATGGTTGATGCAATGTAGGTTGAAAATTAATCTGACCAAGAAATAATGTGGGAACTAATTTTTAAAGGACACCAACACTAATAATGAAAATTTCTCCGAAGTGGTCTATTAAGGAAGCCAGGCAGAGAGATGTGCCCTAATGCTGGCCACCCTTTTGGATTTGCTGACCCATCTGAACTGGTTTTCAGCCTCTAGAAGTAACAGAACCTGCACTTACCTAATACTGCCACCAGGTGGTAGACGTGGCTCACTCAAACATGGTTTTGCCACATTGCTAAAATACAAAATCTCATTTAATTCTCAAACAATGTTACGAGGTAAGTACTGTGGTTTTCATCACTTTTCAGACAATACTAAAAGATGTTCAATAATTTGCTCATATAGGATGATGTTTGCCATGATTTTAATTTGTGGATTTGCAAGATGAGACACATAAAAGTTAATTCTGTCAACACAAGACAGGGGAATCGGGAAAAGGCACACTAGGAAGTGTCTGTCAGCTTTCCTTCTGTTTCCAGTTGTGCCCTGAACTATTCCCAAACTCCACGTGCATGCATCGGAGTATAGCATGTCTTTGAAGCATTCTGTGTCACACCTGACTGCTTATTAGTCTGTCTGTCCCCTCTTGGTGTCATCCCCAAGGTGAGATCTTTGAATGCACGTGCTGTTTCTTTCATTTCTTTAGCCCTGGATCGTGTTTGGCACATACTGAATGGAAAGCAAATGAATGGACATCTTTCAACAGGGGGACGGCATCTCCGCCTGCCTTTCCCATCCCACAAGGCCGAGGAGGGGAGGAGGTTGAGCCTCAATGGGAAAAAGTACCACCACCCTCCCCAAAGGAGTCTTGGCACTTACCCTAATGCATGCAAAAGAGAGCCTCTCCTGGGCTTCAGTGGCCGTGTAGGGAACACCCAGAAAGGCATGTTGATTCTGCCTGTACTTGGGACTGGTAAAAACACACAATTTGACTTTGGGTGACTCTCTGAGATTTGGTGTTAGAAGTAGTTTCAAGGGACATGCCATTGCCCTTGATTTTCATATTCTTTAGAAGCACATAGGGCTGAACTTCAAGAGGTGGGAACCAAGGAAGGGACACAGAATCATAAATGCACAACAAGGCTGGATATGAAACCACCCCACAGAATATAGAAAATACATTTTCAGCTGAAAGCTCTATGAGGAATGTTGCTCTTCAGGAGGCTAGCTGGTGAGAACTGGCCCATAAACAGGATGCAGTAGTGCTGGGTCTTAAACAGATCGAATTTTTAATAAAGTTTGAAGTAATAAAACCCCCACCTAACCTCATTTGCCTCCTCTTTCACCTACCTCAAAAAGCACTGTCAGAGGCCACTCCTTACCCTTAATTCTGTGTGCCAAATGACAGTGCAAGCACAAGGTCCCACCTCAACAACCCTCGAGAACAGAGCCACACCGCACCTCCCAAATCTCACCGAGTGCTGGGAACAACACAAGGTCCTGCAAATAAGACCCCTAATCCCCAGGGCTCTGATTAGATCAGACACGGCAGCCTGAGCATGACCAGCTAAACAACTGAGCAGCAGAGAGATTCGGTGACTGGCTTTAGGAATAGGCTATGGGCAGTGGTGGGCGGGGGGCAGGGGCTGAAGGCCTGGCCAATGACCTGGGGTTCTCATGTGGACTTCATGCTTCAGTAGGACTCTGGTAGAGGGGATTGGGAGTGTACAAGCTCACTCCATGTTGCTCCAGACGACGGGGCAAGACCCGTGGCTAGAAGTCACAGGGAGGCAGATACAAGTGCAATACAGGGAGAGAGTTTTGAGCAACTCCAAGAGACAGGTAACTTCATTAGAGAGTGTTGAGCTGGAGGCTGCAAGAGTGCTGGTCAGAGGTGGCACAGCACTCCCTCGACCTCCAAAGTTCCTCTTGACTGGGATTTGAAGGCTCTGGGGCGGATAGACCAACACTGTCCAGTGGGCTTGTGGAGGGGAACACAACTGCTCAAATAACACCACTCTCAATGAGTGTGACTTCTGGCTCGTGAGGAGTCCTAAGTGCATCAACTCAAAGGGAGAGAGGAATGATGGGCAGAGATAGAAGCAAGAGGAAGGGGGTTGATGGCCTGACCCTTTGCTCGAATCTCTCCCAGGGACATAGTCACAAGTCACTCTGGAGCCCTGAGCATGGACCCACCTCCTCTATGTACATGGGAGGGAGAGGGGCACATTCTCGCTCCCTCAAGATTAGACTCCCTTCCTCCATGCAAGGGGGCTGAAGAGGGCCTAAAGAGTCTTCCTAAAGACGAAGCAACGGCGTGGGGAAATGGCAAAACAGAAGAGGTTAAATATTCCCTGGGAGCTTCATTAAAAATGAAGCACATCCAGTTAAAACGATCATACTTCCAATGCACGTGGAAGCATTGCGGGCGAAGGTGCAGCATCCGTGCTGAATCTGCCTCGAGGAAAGCGCAAGGGCCTGAGAACCGCCCTCCGGAGCGGGGCCAGTGCACACCGGGGACTGAGGAGTCACAGGAAGGAGGGAGCCAGCGAGGGCGGCTCCACCTCCAAGGGGAGAAGACCGAGTTCCACTGGACCACATGATGATCTTAATAAGAGTAGAGATAGTCATAAAAGGGAAATTTTAATTTTGTCTGGGGGAAAAAAACCTCATCTTAGGAGATAACATTCTGATGTTTCTCGGAAGGTGATCGATCGTGGCATTCCGCGTTTTCCTTCAACACAGGGAGCACCTGAGATCCTACGGACAGGAAACGTGGAGAAGACAAATCCAAAGGCATATGCATCAGGTACACTCCAAAGTTCACCTGTGAACAAAATGGCAACAACAAGCTAGATTATTTTAGCGGTTGAAATCATTTTGTAAATAATGTTTAACTAAAAATTAAGTCAAATCCTGAAAGACATGTACTGGGACTTGGCATGTCCTGTCACTTAGTAAAAGGTCATGGGAAACAAGGAGATTCCTCATTTCTGACACAAAAGATTCTCGTTCTAAGGTGTCCTTTCCCAACAGTCACCCCAGACCTCTTCATTGCTGGACCCATTCTTTTTCCTCCTTCCTGTCTACGCTGCATTTTCCTGGAGAACATGGGATGCCAGTTAAGTTCCCCAAATTCTCTAGAATAATGATGGAGGGTCCAAAACGCAGTCTACCCAAGGTTCGCCATCAACACCAGTGAGCCCTTCGGGGGTGTGACTCACTCCCAGGCCTGTTCATTCCTGCGATAACATCAGTTGGCTACCCCCTCCTTATGTTTCAGGCCCCAGACTAAGGGCCTGGGGCAAATGAAATCCTTGAGATTTGTGCACATGTATAAGAAAAGAACACAGGAACTCTCTTTGGAAGTTTTTTTAAATCGAAAAATATTCCAAAATTAAAAAAAATAAATAAAAGGTGTGTGCCCATGAGAATGGTAGCGATGCTCTGATGCATCACAGTGCTTGTGCCTGCCCATCCCCTCTCCTGGCAGCCTGCATGGGGTAGGCTCAAGGTCCCCTCGCTGACACTGCCGGCCTCAGCTGAGCAGACAGACCTGTTGTTATAACGCTCAAGTGCAACACCTCTGAAGACGGTCTCTCTCCCGTGTCTGTAGGGAGATTGTGTCAACCAAATACTGTGAAACAAAACCCTCGTTTTGGAGAAACACAGGAAGCAGTGCAGAATATTTTACCCTGGTTTAACCTGCCAATTGATTATTGGACAGAAATTAAATATTTGCATTATTTCAGTTAATTTTCAAGAATTGCTCCAGGCAGCCTAACTGCTTACTTGACTTCCTGGAATTCTCTGCAAACCAAAGCCCTAACCAACAGTGAGCCTGGAAATAAATCTTCCTAAAGAACCAATGTACCCTGGCTTCTGTGGCTCAGTGGTTAGAACGCCGGCCCACACACTGAAGGGTCTCGGGTTCAATTCCCTGTCAAGGGCACGCACGTACTTGAGTTTCAGGTTAGATCACTGCCCCAGTCAGGGCACATGCAGGAGGCAACCAATCAGTGTGTCTCTCTCATCTCTCTATCTCTCCCTCTCTATCTCTCTATCTCTCCCTCCCTTCCCTGCTTTCTACTCCCTCTAAAAAAAAAAAAAAAAAAT